GGGTGTTTCAAATGAAGTTTAATTGACAATTCGGATAAAAACTCACCGTTTAACTGAAATATTCCTGTAAAATCGGCACTTAACCAGAATTTCACAACTACGGACCACTAAACAAATCAACTTTTAAGAGACTGAAAGGCGCAGGAGCCAAAATGGCGAAGCGGTGTTGCCAAGTCTCAAATGAGTTTTTCTCAACAGAAATAAGAGCCACTTGATGTAGCTGATGAACAACAAAAACTATAAACAGACTCAAAAATCTAAAAAAGAAAATGTTATAAATAATTATTGAACCGTTTTAATGTCAAAAGATTTTAGGACCACAAGTTCCTCAGCAGTCAGCAATCTTGCAACCATATATCAGCAGGGTATTATGCAAAAAAAAACTAAAAAGTCCAAAAACCGACAAAATGCCTTGCAGACTGGTAGTTTTTAGTGTGCAAATAGTTTGATCCACGTTTGCTCGCTAAAATCGCTGTCTGCTGACATTTAAGCAACACGTACAGTTACAGAGCGAGATCACAAGTGTACAACATCTTGTGCTAAGTTAACATCTTGCAGAAAAACCTACGATATGTCACAAAATATCTACGAAATGTCAAAAAAATGAAAAATGTCACTTTTCAAGATACGTAATACCCGTGCCGGTGTTACACAAAATTAGAGAGCAAATTCGGCACGTGAAAATATGAAAATAAACATAATATGAAGTGTTTAAATCTAAATGTTTGGTGAAAAATTCTACGCCAGTGGTTTTTTGAAAAAATAAATGTCGTTTTATTAAATAAGTTTAATTAAAAATTCTAATTTATGCTGCTCAAGAGTTTTTCGTTAAGTGCGCTGAGAAACTGCCAGCTGAATTACTATATTTAAATAACAATAAACAGATTAATGTACACATGTTAAAAAATAGTTCTTTAGGAAAAGGTACGAATGGATGAATGATGGTCAAACATATGAGATAGCTCAGGAACTTTGTCTCTAAATTGTAGAAAAAAATGTATACGTGACAACGTTGTAGAGGGTAGAGCAGCATATGGCGTTACACCGTTGTTTATTTAGTGCGTTTAAGTTCGAACGCTGCAGGGTTGCCAGTTATTAATATTCGAATTCTATAAAGAGCTGCAGACAGCAGTTCGTAGGGGTGTGGTGTATAAGAATTTTTTTATTGTTGTTCTCATTGATTGAAATTGATGCATCTATACGGACTGCATTTTATCATTATTTAGTGTTATCAGTTCGTTGTCGAATATAACAATGGACAATGCAGCAGGAATCAATTGTCTTCTTGGCTATTGAAAACTGGGCGTCCTTTTTATTCACTCAAAGAGTTTCTTTCCGAAAAATTACTTCAAGTTACGTACTTTGTGAACATGCAAACACAGTTAGGTTTTTTCTAAAAAATGTATTTTATATCTAGTCAAAGCATAGTGAGAAAGATGAAAGACAAAGAGAAATACTTTTAGAGAGTTGATATAATCGGTATATTTATCTTCTGAAAGCTGCGCCTCAAGCATACCTACCGATTTTTCATGAACACATAATGATTATCTATATACAATGATCCCACATCGTATAAGTTTCCCAAATACCATCAAAACAGTTCAAGAAAGTTGAGAGGTATAGTAACATAGACGGACCGAACAAGTGAAATTTCTAAAATATGTCTGATATTAAAAAATATCTGTCACAGTATTACCTTCTAGCCGCTTATCACTCATGTTTCGAAAATAAAAATAGGGTTTGCATAATTCCTTAAATTTGCTGCAAGCTTGCTACGCCTGGCAACAAGGCAACATTAGAACCGTTGAACCAGACATGAAAAAGACCATGATCTGCCATCTATGGGTTAATAGAGTAACTCAGGTTCAACTTACTAAAGTCCTCTACCAGAATCTAGAGTTGCCTAATCTAATCATTTTTCGCAGATAAACTTTTCCAACAATACAAAATTAACATTTAATGTTAAAACCAACAAGAAACTTTTGAAATTAGAGAGCAGGGTTTTCATTATTTGATATATTTTGTAATATGTAATGATTAATGTTGCTCAAGTTACTCAATATCAGGGGTATCCACGAGAAGGTTCCTCAACTTTACTCAAGTATTTCAAAAACGAGGCGGCACATTTTCTCCAAATTTTGAGATAGGAACTTATCTTACAAATTCATGACGACGAATGATATGTATGTCTTGCTCCAAACGAGTAAATAACCTCTTTACGGTGTTGCCCTTAAGTCGTTTACTTTTACTAATAAACCATGAAATGGTAGGAAAAGTACCAGCAATTTGTTTAAAATATTTCCGAATTCTTCACACTCTAGTTATACTAGAAGGCGATAGCAGCCCGCATATTTAAGAGGGAGGCCCTGAATATTATTAAATTTTTATGAAATTTTTATGGCTATAGCTTGAACGGCTAGATGGATTTTGACATATGAGATGTTCTCTTGGATTAGTTTTAGCAATGCGAATGACACTGGCTCTATTCAAATTTTATAATGATAAAATGGAAAATTTTAATAAAATAAATCAACGTTGATATTCCTATTTCACGGGCTTTAGACCAAACGGCTTGATCGATTTTGAAATTTGAGATGTTTTTAGATTCGTCCGCATAGCCCAATTAAACATGATTGTATTCTTCCCAGTTAGAGCAGTCCAGCTTTTTGTATTTTTTTTTAAATGTACTTGTTGTTACCTTTATTTCTGTTAGTGGGGGTGTGACGGCTCCATAATAATCTAAACGTTAAATTGCTTATATATGTATATATATATATATATACAGGGTGGCGCATCGAAAACGAAACAGACGCATTTACTGGCAGCTCAGTTTTTTTTAAAAACGCTTAGACCCGTGGATTTTGTTTTCGAGGGGGACACAAGTTTGGCAAAAAATCACGTTAACACGTGCAGCCCCTGGGCGGGGGGGACACAAACCCTAAAATCTTAAATGGAAAGGGGGGTCGAGTGATACCTTATTTTAAAGGTCTTTCAATTCCCTTATATAATGATGTAAAATGCACGAGCTTCAGTACAGTAGTTTTGAAGATTTATTTGATTTAAAGCTTAAAGTAGACTTTAATAGGTACATCAGATTAGTTGTACTACTTTCAGAAGAAATTTGTCTAAAAGAATTTACTTAATAAGTAAATGCTTTTCTTCATTACGCCCCCATGGTTTGTTTATCATTTTGTTGTTGAAAACAGCTATTGGAGCGTTTTTTTGTGGCAAAAAAGTTATTTCTTGAAGAAAGATAAGGAAATATCTCGTACTTATTTTAAATAGGAATTTAGTACATAGTTTGCGATTGATTTGACCAAACTTTGTGGCTAAAATAGCTTGTAACGCTTTATTACATAAATTAACCATGGTATATTCCACGGCAGAAAGAGTTGAAATTATCGAAATATTTTTCGGAAATAATCAGTGCGCTAATAGAACAGCATAAATATTTAATGAGCGACATGAGAACAGTAACGTGCATCGAAAATATGTTCTAGAACTTGTAGCTAAATTTCGGGAAACTGGGTCAGTATCCAATAAAAAAACGCAATATTGAAAATCCTATAAGGAACGGCGATCATTTAGTTGGTCCTTTTTTCTTACATGGAAATTGACCGGTGAAATGTATTGGAATTACTGGAAGACGCCATAGATCCTGCATTAACAGCCATAATTGAAAATCAGAATGATCGGCGGTACATTGCGAATAGTTTGATGTTCCAACAGGATGGTGCCCCACTACATTACGCATTACGTGTTCGACAATATTTAGATCAGACGTTTCCAGTTCGATGATTGTTAGAAGAGGTGCCATTGAATGGCCCCCAAGATCGCCAGATTATCCACCTTTGGATTTCTTTATGTGGTGTCATTTAAAAAGCAAAATCTATGCTACTCAGCCAACATCATTAGAAGACTTGCGACAAAGAATTGTGAATGAGTGCCTTCAAATTATTCCTCAAATATTGCAAAATGTGCGGCACGTTTTGAGCAAAATCTTATTATTGCATGGAGAGTCATGGTGTCCATTTTCAACATTACTTGCCTAACGGGTCAGTTCATTCTTCATTTTTAAATTACTTTGCTGCCAATGTATTGATCTCCACTAATGATGATGTATTAGTTTTATTTAAGCTTTAAATCAATAAATCTTCAAAACTACTGAACTGAAAGTACATTAATTTTATATCATTATAAAGGGAATTGAAAGACTTTTAAAATAATGTATCACTCGTCCCCCCCTTCCATTTAAGATTTTGGGGGTGGTGTCACCCCGCTTAGGGGACTGCACATGCTAACGTGATTTTTTGCCAAACTTGTGTTCCCCTCGAAAACAAAATCTGAGCATTTAAAAAAAACTGAGCTGACAGTAAATGCGTCTGTTTCGTTTTCGATGAGCCACCCTGTACTGATAGGTGCACACAACAATTTTTAATCTATTTTGTAAAGTAATTTTCGTGTCTATTAATTCGCAAAGAATGACTCCTGTTTTACTTTTGTTGAAGATGGTGACCTGTCATATGAGGGTCTTGGAGAACATACTTTCATGAATCAGAAAATGAAGGTATATAGGAGTGATGAGGAAATATATCTAGAAAGTGGGGCTGTAGTGAACTTAACTTGTGAAGTGCCTATAGGATCGGCAAGGTTTCAATGGTACATCACAGATATGAACAACCGGACCCATAGGATAGAGAATTTTGTCACTCTTAGCGACAGGCAGTCAATTTTAGAGGTAACAACATCTGCTGGTATTTCTTATTATATACAGGGGAAATGGGGGAACGTTACACGGACTGTAGCAAGGGAACACGAGTACATGTGACATGCACACATTCTGGTCCCGCTTAAGAGATCCGCTTGGTGGTACCTCCAAGTTCGACTACCAAGGCCGGATTCAGGATTTCGTGCAGGGGGGGGGGGCGCAAACGATAGTTGGGGCTGGTCATTTTTTAACCTCAGTGGAACTTCTAGAATTTATCCTATTGTTGCTCCTTAAATCCATTGTTCTATCTGGTCAAGCTTGAAAAAAAAACAGGGAAAGGCTCAGTAATCCTCAGAAACCAATATTATTTTATATGAGAACAAAATAAGTACGTGACATTTATAATTAACTACTGTAATAATATTAAAGATTCAAACATAAAAAACTCAATTGCTCTGTTACCGAAAATAAATAAATAAAACATTCTGAGGGACCCCGAGACATATCCCAGTCCATTCCACACAAACAATGTCTTTGATTGCGAAAACGAACATGAAACCAAAAAAAAAACACATTATCGTATAGACGCTAGACAAGATGTCTATAGACCATCTATAGATCGTGACTTGAGAGTCTCCAGACTGCCTATAGACAAATTGCGCAACGGGGTCTACTAGTATGTAGGAACTAAGCTTAAGGATCAAGTCTCTGAACTGCCCATTAAACAAATCAAGTAGATGGTGCAAATACTGACACAATTAAGCACTTTAATTATATCAGCAGGTGATAAAATATCAATAGGTATAGCCAATTATTATTTTTTTATACCGAAGCAGCCGCGCAGGCAGAAGCCTAAATGCCGGAACACCACGGCTGATATGATGAACCCAAAGAATTTGTTAAATCGAGGTTAGTAGAACTGGGAAAAGCTCCCTCTTGTAGATTTTTCCACAATCTCGACACCCTCGGGACAAAGGAGCGGTCGTATCAGCCAGTTTCTGGATGTCCGAAGTTCGACACGGTTAGGATGGGAGGTATCATAGAATAGAGCTCTGAGGAGCAAAGTCCGCTCGTGTAGAGGTAGAAGAGAGCTAGATCGCCGGTGTGAGAGGGTCCCGAGACTGTCTGTTAGAGAAGAGTCATCGATCAGCCGGATAGCCCTCCTCTGGTAAGCATCGAGCATAAATGATGTAGTCGGGATGGCAGCACCCCAAAAATGTGAGCAGTACTAGCAAGGCTAGGCCTTATCTGGGCCTTGTATATTGTGAGAATGTCATGCGGAGAAAAGTACTTCTTAGTCCTAAACAAATAGCCTAACTTTTTCCCAGCAACTGCCGCTATTGACGAAATGAGTTCTTGCCAGATCAGGTCCTCGGTGATCTGGACTCCGACCTGTCGAAATGAAAATGGCTCTTTTCAGAACTCGGCCATCCATCGAAACTAGATGAGCTTTAGGACGCTTTTTGTTCGTCAAAGTACCGTACTGTGTTTTGGAAGCATTAAACTCTACAAGATTGTTGTGTCCCCAATCAGTGATAACCTCCAGGTCTCTCGTCGTCAGAGAGGAAGTCGTCGCTAGTTTTTTTTTCCAGCTCAGCGGTGGATTTCGCAGCAAAGATCTTGGCAAGCACTTCCGCCTAGACCTTTGAGTTCGATACAATTGTTCCATCCTGACAGGTATGTGGTGGAAGGCTACTGTGTGAAAAGTTATTTCCAATCTGCTTGGCCAGCGTCCAGAAAGACCGACTGCCATTGCGCTGTGACATTATCCTGTGCCTAACTCTTATAGTGTGCTGGTTTTTGGCATTGCGATCCGCTTCGTTATATTTGTTTCTGGACTTGACGTCGGCTTGTGTGTTCTCTACAGTGGGGTTTTGTAAGAAGGTTCTGTGTGCCTTGATCATCTGATGGCGAGCAGTGGCACACGATTTGTTAAACCAGAAGTTGGACCCTGGTTTAGGCACTTTCACTATATGAGGGATGTCCATTCCGACGTGGATAATTTCGGTTATCGAAGAACAGACAGCCGATGCCTCCGCGTCGGTGAAGCAGTCACTTTTCTAAGGACAGGTATAGAAGAAATCTCTGAGCCCCTCCCAGTCGGCATGTCAATGCCAAATTTTGCGGCCTGTGCGGGTTTCAGCTGCCACAGCGGGTTCTGACCGAAACCTGACCTCCGCAACACAGTGGTCTGAGTTACACAGGGGGGACAGCAGTGCTGTAAGGGACAGGATGCGTGGGTCAGCGCTTGAGTAAGAGCGAACGCTTCAACTGCACGACCTGCTGCATCGGTCTCGTTTGAGCCCAACCAAGGCAAATTATAATCATTGAAATCACCGAGGAGAACTACCTCTGAAGCGGGGTGATTGATGTTCAGGAAGTCTATCTTGACGGCGAGGTATTCAAGAAGGTCAACCCAGTTATGGTGCGAGAGAGAGAGAGAGCTAAAAAGACAGCAAATAAATTTGGGGGATGCTTTGGAGTTGAGGCGAAGCCACGGTATGTCCTTCCGGTCAGATGCCAGAGAAACATTTCTGCAGCAGGAAAGACTGCTGCGGACAAAGGCAACAACTCCCCCGTCCTTTCTCAGATTGGAGTGCACCTCGTAATTTGAGAAGCTAAGATTCTGAGATTTTTGTCTCCGCCAACAAAAGCATGGCGGGACGATTGGATTGAAAGTAGTGATGAATAGCATCAATGTTGCTGATAGTCCCGCAGATGTTCGTGAAACAAATTTTATCTTCGATGTTACCTCGAGTCCACCCTCCACCCAGACACTCCGAGAGTGGAGTGAGTTTACGTCCGGAATTCTTAGTACTCGAGGATCCAGCATCATTAATTTCTTTGTTTTGGAACATAACAGACTGCATATCTTAGGTGTGGAAACATGCGGACATTTATAAGACACCCTGGGAAAAGCTAGCGGGTGATGGTACCGTCTCGGTCGACTGGTCTTTTTGCGTGTTAATGATATTGAATAGACCTAAAGTGGCCCGTTGGCGGACTTGTACCGCCACTCGACAATCGGTGCTGTAGGAGTTGGGAATTTGAAATTCAATATAGATGTTACAGTTATTTTTCAGACTTTCGTTGTCAAGCTTAGATTTACGGCACAGTTTGTTGTTTTCTCAGTTTTCGAACCGGTGTTGATCGCATGTAAAAATGTTGGAAATCCTTGGAAAAACTATATCTGTTAGGTAGTAATTATTTTGATAATGTATGTTTGTACGAAACAAATACAGGAATACAGGGCTGTACATATTCACGTATAGTGGAGGAGTTCTGCAATTTAGGCGAATTCAATATAGCAACATAAATAGACACATACGCGAGAAGAGATGCGGGACGTGTGGTATTGACTTTGAGCATCGATCGACGCAGTTTCTGGACAGGCCACAGGCGTACCGCTAAACAAATCTCATAACTGTCTATTTCCAATTTAGGCGTTCATCTAACAGTGCTTCGCTGCAACCCCGAACAAAATCTGTCAAGCTTTACACACTTTTCAAATTACTGTTGAGCAACAAACAGAACATGATTCACTTTTGCGCATAGCTAATATATTACCCAGACTTAGATTTGTCACAAGTCACAATAAATCGTAAGAATTGTGCTGCAAGCAAGTGATGTCAAAGAGGGACAGCATTTGGAATACCAAAGGATACCAAAAAATCGCAATGATCAGTTCCTATAGCTATAACTTATAGTTAGAATGCTTCTGTCGCCATGATGTGTCAGAAAGTACCACAATGGTATTAGACTATAAAAGCAAGTCTCAGACTTTTAGGAGCGGGGTGCCCCCCGTCTAAATCCGCCACTGAGACAAACACAGCATCCATATACAAGAGAAAAATTTTCTAGAGATGGAATTCTAGCTCGCGCAGCTCACGGCGGCCAGATTAGTACTTAGATCTCGACATTTACCACGATGCCACCGCACTTGCCTTTATTTATCCCCTAAATGTTATAGGGTAGTTTTTTTCGAAAAATTGTAAAAAATATGTTTCAGGGAATTCTGGGCACAATTCGCCTTGGTTATAATGAAATATTGCTTGCACAAACAAAATTTGTGTTAAATTATGCAGGTAGATCCCATTATGATTTTATGTAAATATTTTCTCAAAAAAACTTGGGAGCAAAATACAGGGTGGACTAAAAAATTCTGAGGCAGAGTATCTTGTTATTAGACAAAAGCTTGCTTAACAGCTGTTAACAGATCCCTATACGCTACATCAAGAAACTCAATAAAAGTATTCAATACCATACAGAGCATTTAATCGTAAAATGAAGTTCATTTGACACAATCCGACTCGGTTAGTAAAATATTGCGTGCACAATCAAAATATATTTTAAACTATTTAGTTAGATCCCATTACTCATTTCATGTAGATATTTTCCCAAAAAAAAACATGACGGTGGCCTTTTTCAAAATATAAATGGCAATGACAATATATTTTATGTTTATCTAACTTCCGGGTTTTCAGTCCGAATATTGCGCTTTAGGTCTTGAATTGTCCGGGGACTATTCGCATACACTTTTTCTTTCAAAAATCCCCAAAGAAAATAGTCAAGAGGTGTTAAATCGCATATGCGGTCTTGAAATTTCATGTGCAATAAGGCAATTGTTTGGCGAGATGTGTGAGCCGTTGCTCCGTCTTGATGAAACCAAAGATCGTCGGCACTAATACGATCCAATTGTGGCCACAAAAAGTCTGTCAACATGCCGCGATAACGTTCCCCGTTGACGGTAATGGCCTTTTCTTCGGCATCTTCAAAGAACAATGGTCCAACGATGCCATCAGCCCATAATCCGCACCAAACAGTCACTTTTTCAGGATGGAGAGGTTGTTCTTGATATTGGTATGGATTTTCAGCCCCCCAGAATCTGCAATTTTGCTTATTTTCGTACCCATTGAGGTGAAAATGAGCCCCATCAGTACTTTGTCCGAAAATCCGTCTTCTCTTTCCAGCATCCAATTAACAAAAAACACGCCGATCTTGATGGTCTGCCGGCTTCAATTCTTGTGTAAGTCTCTAAGAATTTCAGTAATCAATAATAAATGTATAAAGATCTATGAAATTGTTAATTAGAACGATATTTTACCTGTTCATAAAACAGGGTTTGCCTGATCTGAACAGGGTTTTTTCAAGGGGATGGCTTCCAATTTGCAAAACCGCAACGATGCAACTGACTGGGGGAGAAAGGGGTACTAGTCTATGAATGGGTGCTTGGGGCCTAATATCCCAGAGTCTAGAAAACGACGAAAATACCCCTACACCACGACCTCGACGGAAACTGAAAAGCGAATCACAGAATACGTACTCGTTACGTTCTAGAGGAAAGAATCTTGAGTGGCCTTGAAGAAGATATGTTTTATAGGAAGCCAACTAACGGAGAAAAACTGCAGTTTTTTGCTGATCGTCAACACCATACTGAATCGCTGAGAAAGAAAGATGTAATACGAGTGAAATTACACAATCAATAAACTATTAAATTAGCAGAAAGAAAATCATTGAAAAGGGGTTTGGCCTAGGAATGGGCACTCTATTATCAATGAGGAGAAATTCAAATTACTGATAAGTGTTAAATAGAAAAAAAAGGTTACGTGATTTTGGCACGTGACAAAATATCACCTTCATTATCTATAATAAATCATAAAAGCAAAATATATTTTTCAAAATGCACTGTGTCAACTCGAAGGAACTTCATTTCTTAATGAATAGAGATACCAAAAATCCTATGGACCTAAAGGCGTTTGGTCAAAATTTATAGAAACCGTTTTGATCCTAGTCCTCTATAACATTTTTATATGTTTTTCCGAATTTTTTCAATTTTCTCTACATAGAAATATCTAAAAGAGTTAAAAAAGTGAGCATTTAGGACCTCAAGGATATTAAAACGGTACCTGAAAATCTGAATCAAACCCACCTCATATATTATTCTACTTTATACATAAACAACTCTAGAAATATTGAAAGTAAAGAAATATAAAAATGTTACTGCAAAATTTGAAGGTAAACTTCTAATCAGTTTTTGAAATACTTAGCCAGAAAGCTAGTAGATCCACAATTTTTATAAAATTTGGGCTCTCGGTAGCGAAATTGAGTCCATTTACAGTCAGAATTTGTTGCTACTAGGTGTGTAGTACAGTGTGATACAGGTGTGCATCCGGTTATTGGAGATAAAGTTCATCGCGCCCACCTCAATTTTAATCATGTATAATTTGACTACGTACGTATGTGAAAACTTTGGAAGAAATGAAACTTCCGTGTTCTAATACATTACTGTTTTTTTAATAAAGTTTATGCACCAAAAATATTAAAATAAAAATGATGGAAAATAAGGCAGTTAAAGAAACAAAAAATCCACAGAACCAAACTTGGGCTTAGGCTTGGAAATTTTCTAAAAAGCTTAATCTATACGCATAAGTAGTATAAATTTAAATATATACTTATAAATAAGGTGCATTTTTTATTTTGCAGTCCGACACTCATTTAGGTATTCCTTCGCCAAATAGATATTTATGTGTAAAGATTCTGGTGGTCCTTTTTGAAAAACAGTAACTCCCCGACTCGATAGCTTACCAGATATATTTGTTTTGAGCCTATAAAACTATGGTTATTAAAGTGTTGCTAAGAGCTAAGATTTTATTTCATGTATATTTCTGTTGGTCACAACATGTCTTAGCCCTTCCATGTTTTAAAAATGGTGGTAGAGCTTTGTGCCATGGAGTACGCATATATCTACCAATATTAACTAGTAGATTACATACTTAGACGGAGACGCAAACCATTATGTGTCGAATACTTTTATAGGATATACTGTGCGAGATGATGGCCTTTTCAAACGAAATATGTTTTTGTAGATCGAAAAAACCCCAGCCCTTCGAGAGATATACAAATGCATCGCTTGGACTGACCATCAGAAGCTAGTGAAGAGATTCATTCTTCACGTTGGTCATAGATCGGACACCATCGTTACCGTTAGTTTGGTGAATGTTACAAGTGACAGCCTAGGGTTATTGGTAGAAACTGAAGATGAACAAACTATCCCTTTCCATCTATTGGTGCGGTACAGAAAAGTGGATGATGAACACTGGCATAATTTTAAAACCGAGGCGCAGAATGGTAAGGCGGATAGGGTACTCCCCCAAACATTTTAATTTGATAGAATGTCAATATTTTGTCTCCAAAAGGTTGGATAAAATTGGGTAAATTGTACCATTTAGCATATTTTGGGGAATAAATCGTTAACCGCTTTTTTTAATTGAATGATAATTCAAAGTATAGTAATGTTTTTTATCAAAATGGGCAACTTAAAACTTATGTAAGTACCGAGAGTTTAGAATAATATGCTTTTTAAAGAAATGTTGAAAATGGTACAATTTATCGAACCACTTTGGTAAATTTTACCACGCGGGTTGTAAATTGTTTGTTACCAAAAAGCACAGATTTTAAATTTTCATTGTTAATTAAACGATTTCATGTTTAGCCTACTCATACACAGAGACCATAAATTAGGACATACCTAAGTGAGACAAAACATTACCCCAACGGATTAAATTAAAAACTCCATATAAATAAATATAATTATTTAAAAAAAATTAACATAATTAATTTACAATTTGGAGCAAATTGGTAAAACAAAAAAAACATAACAAATAACTGACAGTATTTGTTCAATTTAAGCGCACAAGTCACAAGTATCACTCATTGTTTGCACCTGACTATACAGGGTGGCGCATCGAAAACGAAACAGACGCATTTACTGGCAGCTCAGTTTTTTTTGGAAAAACGCTGAGACCCGTCGATTTTGTTTTCGAGGGGGACACAAGTTTGGCAAAAAATCACGTTAACACGTGCAGCCCTCTGGGCGGGGGTGACACCAGCCCTAAAATCTTAAATGGAAAGGGGGTTCGAGTGATACCTTATTTTAAAGGTCTTTCAATTCCCTTTATAATGATGTAAAATATATGAGCTTCAGTTCAGTAGTTTTGAAGATTTATTGATTTAAAGCTTAAAGTAGACTTTAATAGGTACATTAGATTAGTTTGTACTACTTTCAGAAGAAATTTGACTAAAAGAATTTACTTAATAAGTAAATGCTGTTCTTCACTACGCCCATGGTTTTTTTTATCATTTTGTTGTTGAAAATAGCTATTGGAGCGTTTTTTTGTGGCAAAAAAGTTATTTCTTGAAGAAAGATAAGGAAATACCTCGTACTTATTTTAAATAGGAATTTAGTACATAGTTTGCGATTGATTTGACCAAACTTTGTTGCTAAAATAGCTTGTAACGCTTTATTACATAAATTAACCATATTCCACAGCAGAAAGAGTTGAAATTATCGAAATATTTTCCGGAAATAATCAGTGCGCTAATAGAGCAGCAGAAATATTAAATGAGCGACATGAGAACAGTAACGTGCATCGAAAATATGTTCTAGAACTTGTAGCTAAATTTCGGGAAGCTGGGTCAGTGGCCAATAAAAAACGAAACATTGAAAATCCCATAAGGAACGAAGCAATAGAAGTGGGGGTTTTAGGGCACGTTTATGTAGACCCTACGTTAAGAACCCGCAAATTGGAGACTATGTGTGGTGTTAGTCGACGTACTATCCAACGGATTCTAAAGGCTATGGGCCGTTTTTTCCGATTCTAATCCCAGAATTTATCATGAGGTTCATACACAGCAGCCACAAAAATTAAATGTTTGGGCTGGTATTTTTGGCGATCATTTAGTTGGTCCTTTTTTCTTACGTGGAAATTTGACCGGTGAAATGTATTTGGAATTACTGGAAGACATAGATCCTGCTTCAACAGCCATAATTGAAAATCAGTATGATTGGCGGTACATTGCGAATAGGTTGATGTTCCAACAGGATGGTGCCCCACCACATTACGCATTACGTGTTCGACAGTATTTAGATCAGACGTTTCCAGATCGATGGATTGGTAGAAGAGGTGCCATTGAATGACCTCCAAGATCGCCAGATATGTCACCTTTGGATTTCTTTATGTGGGGTCGTTTAAAAAGCAAAATATATGCTACTCAGCCAACAACATTAGAAGACCTGCGACAAAGAATTGTGAACGAGTTCCTTCAAATTACTCCTCAAATATTGCAAAAAAAAATTGAGCAAAATCTTTATTATTGCATGGAGAGTCATGGTGGCCATTTTCAACATTTACTTGTCTAACGGGTCAGTTCATTCTTCATTTTTAAATTACTTTGCTGCCAAATGTATTGATCTCCACTAATGATGATGTATTAGTTTTATTTAAGCTTTAAATCAATAAATCTTCAAAACTACTGAACTGAAGTACATTAATTTTATATCATTATAAACGGAATTGAAAGACCTTTAAAATAAGGTATCACTCGACCCCCCTTTCCATTTAAGATTTTGGGGGTGGTGTCACCCCCGCTTAGGGGGCTGCACGTGCTAACGTGATTTTTTGCCAAACTTGTGTCCCACTCGAAAACAAAATCGACGGGTCTGAGCGCTTTTCCAAAAAAAAACTGAGCTGCCAGTAAATGCGTCTATTTCGTTTTCGATGCGCCACCCTGTATATCCCTTATAAGATATTTAGATACAATTTAAAAGACCAAAAGTATAAATGGCTGTATCGTTGTAACACAAATTGTTTCATTCTCTTTAAACTGAGGTTAGGTTAAATTTCACCTGCCAGAGATCTACCAAATCAATCAGCAGAAAGATGATTGCTTGAACATAAACGCTTATCTAAGATTGTATAAGACTGCCAAAAGAAGCTTTTGAGACACCAGCGAATATCGACAGCTCTTTACAAGTTTTAATGTTTTGACGTCAAGGGGCATCAAATATTGAGGTGGTACTATGTAAAAACCGGCACAAAATACCTACCCGATTTTCTACTATGTCATATTTTCAAATCAGATTATCATAATCCATATGTAGTAAAATTTTGCGCCAAAACTACAAAATAGTTATAGATTTTCAGCCAGAATGCCTATCACACGCACCGCGTCGCCGCGTCACGGTAATTAGCAATTTAGGAAATAAACATAAAATGTACAGGATGGTCAACTAGGAATGCGAGGTACTGATCTGGAAACATATCCATCGTAGAGGCTTGCGGCAAAAAAATTTCTTATTGAAACGGCCAAGTGTAAAATCTGGAAAATACTTTCAAGTTTCTGAAATGGCCGCTAGGGCGCGCAACTGCAATCTTGATTATAAAAATGTGATGTTTCTGTGAAGTCCGCTATATTAACCTAACAAAAAATACCTGATCTTTAAATTCGAGGATAATCTGAACCTCTTTTGTTTAACAATTTTTGCTGTACCTATCTCTAAAAATAAAATGATGGGGGGTATTCAAAGGTTTCCGTAAATACACCCTGCTGAGCTGAGCCGATTTTAACAAACTTGGGTTAGTTGAAAAGACCTAATCTTGGGCTACAAATATCATAATATTTGAAGTTTTGTTAGTTTCACATGTTGCACTCTATTCTACAATAACCTAATAAATATTTTCAACATGTGTATTCCGAAAACTAAGCGTACGTCTGGCAAATTTCCACCCTGGTACCTACACTCGCGCAATCATCAAGGATATTAAACAAAAGAATTCACTACGTAAATTATACAAAAAACGTCAAGAAGTGACTGTCTATGATACATTTAAAGAATTAAGATCCAAAATTAAAAGAGACGTTAGTACATAGAGCAGACTGAAAATTGCATAAAAAAAGATCCAAATCAGTTTTGGTCCTTCATCAAAAGTAAAAGGCACGGTGGCCTTTCACCTTCTGAATTCGCTCACAATGATTGTGTTTTCAATAACCCTGTTGATATAGCAAATGCCTTCGCTAATTTTTTCCAGTCTGTCTATTCTACGCCCAATGTAGCAGCTAGGCCAGATGATGATATTATTGCTACAAACAATATTGTGCTGAATAGTTCACAGAAAAGGAGGTTCTTATGGCATTAAAGAAAATGAAAAACAAGTTCACTACTGGACCTGATGGTATACCTGCATTCTTAATCCATGATTGTACACCTATTCTTGCTGCACCTTTAACTAAAATCTATAACCTAAGTATCAGATCACATACATTTCCTGAGATTTGGCGTGAAGCCAAGGTTCGACCTATCCATAAAAATGGAAACCGTAAATTAATTGAAAACCATAGGCCTATCACTATTGTGAGTAATTTTTCGAAAATGTTTGAAATGTTATTACATAATTTCATACAATACAACGTAAGTTCTTCAATTTCTACAGCACAACATGGATTTGTAAAAGGAAGGTCGACAACAACAAACTTAGTCTGTTTAACTCAATTCCTAGCAGGTGTTTTAGATTCTAATGGTCAGATTGATGTGCTATATACTGATTTCAGTAAAGCGTTTGATAGAGTCGATCATGGTTTACTACTGGGAAAACTTAATAGCATTGGCTTATCCAAAAATTTGGTATTATTATTTCAGTAGTATTTGTCTGATCGCAAACTATATGTGGATTTTAACGGTGGTAAATCAATTCACTTTTTTCCATCTACTGGCGTCCCACAAGGATCTTCCTTAGGTCCACTACAATTCGTCATTTTTATTAATGACTTAGTTAATACGATTGACTGCAATATTCTGCTCTACGCGGACGACGTAAAACTGTACTGGCAAATTGATGATCCATCTAGTTGCTTTTATTTACAAAGGAATCTTGACAGACTGTCTGAGTGGTGTACTAGGAGAGTAAATTCAATTACCAATAGTTATAAAATTAACAACATTCTTCTTCAGACTTCAGAGGAGTTCAGGGACCTAGGAGTAATATTTGACAGGACATTGAGCTTCAGTGCACACCTAACTAATTTAATGAATTCTGCCAATAAAGCACTGGGATTCGTTATACGCAATTCAAGAGAGTTTATCGGTACCACAGCACCTACAGTGCTGTACAATTCGTTTGTTCTTTCTAAGCTGGAATACGGAAGAATAATCTGAAACCCATACTATGTTACCTCATGTGACTCATTGGAAAAAATTCAGAGGAAGTTCTTGAAGTATTTATCTCTCAAAACTGATGGTGTTTATCCTCCCATAGGGATTTCACAAAATAACTTACTTCAAAAGCATAGGTTTCTCAGCCTTGATGATAGAAAGAAGATACAATCTTTAGTCTTTTTGTTCAAAGTTATAAATTACCAACATGACTGTCTATCATTTTTTTCTATGCTAAATTTCAATACACCCAGAGTACGAACAAGGGTCAACCTTGCCTTTTACCTACCTACCTCACGAACGAATCTACTGCTGCACTCACCGCTATATTCGATATTCTCATGTTATAATGACTATATGAGTTATTTTGATATCTTCAACACATCCATTTTTATTATTAAGAGAGTATGTAAAGCGGTAGTTTTTTTAGAGCTACCACAGTTTGATTGAGCTATGATCAGTTGTAGCTTTTCATGGGTTCTTATTGGTAATTACAAAGCAATCAATGCTATTAGTTTATTTTGTGATTTTTATATATATATATATATATATGTGCGGTATTTCCCACCAGTAATTGGTTTATAAACTGTTGGTGGTGTAATTAAATAAATAAATAAATAAATAAATAAATGTAGCCGCTAGAGAGCTTTTTGCGACATTCCGGCAGAAATGGTTAATTTTCTCCAAAAAATTAAATGCATTGGTGTATTTTTTTTCTATGAAAAAGTAGCTAAATGATGTCTAAACAAGCTCGCGAAAACCGCATCTCGATATCTTGTTCCTAACCTAAAATATAGGCCAAAGAAAATTTTATACGGAAATCCATCAAATTTTTATTGTTTTTCAAGTAATTTTTCTGGAATTTCTTTTTATCATCAAGTTGAGGCTCTAAAAAGGGCCGATTTGAAAAAAATCTTTTTAGTGTCCCCGTAAATGCTGACCATCATGGGCCTCTCAATGGTAGGCAAAACTGCAGCTTCAATTTCGGCTTTCGGTATGTTACGTATTGTATTGCGAATCCGGTTTTTCATATCTTATCTGGTTGTAGGTTGAGTCTGAAACACGATGTGCTTTAACCCTCCCCATGTATAAAAATCAAGACACAAGTTGAGTCTGGTGATCGCAAAGCTATGAAAACAGACTTCCTCTTCCAATCCACCGCATTAATATGCTCTCGCATAATAATAGCAAAATGTGCTGGGCAATCATCCAACTGCAAAAACAAGTTTTGCCGTGCTTCCAGTGGCACATCGTCCAATAACAACGGTTTGTTTTGTTGTATTCCATGTGGTGATTTTATTCCGATGAATAAAAAAGAATTCCAGAAACAATATTAAAAAAAATAAAAAATTAAGGGATTTCCATATAAAATTTTCTTCCTAAATTTCAGGTTAGGAACAAAATATCGAGATGCGGTTTTCGCGAGCTTGTTTAGACATCATTTAGCTTCTTTTTCATAATCGTACCGATGCATTTAATTTTTCTCAGAAAATTAACCACATTCACATCTGAAAATAAAGGCTCTAAATTCATTTTAACGGATATATTGGTCTAATCACCCAAAAACTTTAATATCACATATCTCAGGCACTAGTGAATTGATTTTGTTGAAATTCTCCATGATAGCAAATTTTCCAACGGATAACGTAATATTAGACTGACGGTTAAAACATTCGGGGCCTGAATATTGAAATGTTATTGGCCATGTACAAAAAAGCCTATGAATGGTGTTAATTAATAAGCAAAATAGATTTATTACACCTCTTTTGATTTTTTAGTTATCCTTAATTTTCAATTTACCAGCAATTTGGCAGGTAGTCGTTCAAACTATACACGTATGTCATACTTACCGTAGATAAAACATCACTTAGTAAAGATGGGGTTTATTCTTTGTTCGACGCCTATTATAACCGGATACATACGAGGGCTGTTTGATAAGTCAGTGACTTTTTGAATAAAAAAAATGTTTTTCGGCAAATAAGCATTTTATTTCTCAACATAATCTCTTTTCAGCTCGATACATTTAGTCCAGCGTTTTTCCAATTTCTTGATTCCTTCCGAATAGTAGTTTTTATCAAGGCTCCCAAAATATGTTTCAATGATGTCCTCTTCATTCGACCCAAATTTCTTACCACCCAGCCATTTTTACAGGTTTGGAAATAGGAAGTAGTCGCTGGGGGCTAAATCTAGAGAATGGGCTGGATGGGGCAGCAGTTCGTAGCCCAGTTCATGAATTTTTGCCATCGAGACTACACATGTCTGTACCCGTGTGTTGTCTTGATGGAACAGCAATTTTTTTCGCCAAATACTGTCGTTTATGCTTCAAAGCAACGTTGAATCTATCTAACAGCTCTGAATAGTACTCTCCCGTGATGGTTCTGCCCTTCTCAAGGTAATCGATGTAAATTATAACGCGGGCGTCACAGAAAACTCTGGCCATAACCTTGCTGGCTGACAGACCCACCTTGGTCTACAGTTAGAAAACGGCGCAAAAATTCGTTCGGATTGCGGCTGAACATCGCCAAACATTCCTTGAAATGGTCGCACGGTTGCGCTTATGTCGACTGTGAGCAATCGCGGCACCCATCTCGCGGATAGTTTTTTCATGTCCAAGTATTCATGAAAAATGTGATGTACCCGCTCAGTAGAGATGCCTACAGCCTCAGCTACTTCACATATTCTTATTTTTCGATCTTCCAATATCATCCCATGGAGGTTATCCACGATTTCTGGTGTGATGACCTCTTTTGAGCGACCTGAACGTTCGGCATCACTTGTGCTGGTTCGACCACATCGGAACTCAGTAAACCACTTCTTCACCATTGAAATAGATGGTGCAGAGTCCCCATAGTATTTGTCAAGCCTTTCCTTGGTTTTTACGCAAAAAATAATGTTTAATTAGAACACGAAATTCACTTTTCTCCATTTTTGTTAGAATTTATGATACTGTCTACTTTCAACGGCTGTTAAACTCAAATGAAATGACATAGGTTGTTCAAATTTTGACGTTGTCATATAAAAGATGGCAGTTGATTGCAGCAGTGTTGCATTCAAAGTTACTGCGCGGAAAATTCAAAAAATCACTGACTTATCAAACGCCCTCACATTTCGGAGCGATCGTACATAAACCTCGAACTATCATATATTTTATTTCAGGTAGCATTTTTTTCCTTAAAGACCTTCATCCAGCGACAAAATATGAGATAAAGGTATCTCATCCAAACCCAGCAGATGCAGAAATGGTGTCCAATAGCATCTTTTATGAAACACTAGCTAATAAGAATGTGAAACACTTAGCGTCTATTTCTGTGTTGAGTTTCGCCTATTTAGTACATATAATATATCACTATGTCGTAACTGTTTTATTGTAATTTAATAGAACATTCTTTAGATAGTGATGTTGCTATATTAACTAGGTAATAATGTGCAATAATGTCCACTGCAATAATAGAATTTATATGTGTTGATTTTATATGCGTTTTAATTCTACCTCCATGAGTTCCGTGACCAAGTTTTATAGAACATACTTTATCAACATTTTTGTTTTTATTTCACTACCTGACTCGAGTGCGGATTTAGAAGGGGCAAGCAGCCCTAGACGCCCAAATGTGTCATTTTTTCCAAGAAAACGGTTATAGTGTTGTGTCTTAGTGTAAGATTACCTTGCTAGATTTGAATCGTCTTGAGGACCCCCCTTTGACGTTACCCACCCCTCTCTTTTCAATTATCCCTAGGGCATTTTCTCTCAGAAGCGATGCTTCAGTGCTTAAGCATAGGCATGCAGCCAAATTTTTAAGCGCGACGAACATCTTGTTGTGCTTACATGAATGCTGTGACTACCGTTGCGCCCCTACCATAGACAGATTCTTAAATCCGCCCTGACCTGACTGTTCTCTGAAAGAAACAATTTTGGCATTTTTACCCACTATTTTTATATGAGGGCATGGTTGCAACATTTCCCACTTCAAATCAATAAAAAAATACACTGAGACACAACATATTTGTACAATACAATAAAAAAATAAAAGTTGAAGTTGCTTTACCTTCGTTTTTATAGCGAGCACAGTGCCACAAAAATGTCATTTTACTTCCCGCACCTACTGGCGTGGAAGTGTTTTAATCGAATTTGGAAAATGAGATACTACGTTTTTCGGATGTTCTATGAAATGTGCATCACAGAATAACCATAGCGGCTTTTCAGAGGTTTTTGGTTTGAGAGTGATACGGTCCCGAACTATGCATGGGAATACAATGGTATCGGTGCTGAGCACTACTGAGTTACTCCGAATTTCTCAACAGGGTCACTGGAAAGGCTCAGGTCACAGATTTCCACCTGCCTCACTGTCGGTCTGTATGTCAATCTGCCTGTCTGTCGGTCTATCTAACTATAACTTGGAAATTGGAAATTAATGTTCGGATTTGCTTGACATTTTTGTACAAGGCTACTACTATGCCAAAGACGAAAAAGCTTTTTAATTTTTGAAAACCAGTCTAGTGGTGGCGGAGAAACATGCCAAGAACAAAAAAAAGTATGTCTATTTTTCGATGTTTCAGAAGATTCTGATCATTTTTCAAAAATCCTTTATTAGTGATAACTGAGGTGGTGGGGGAGGGTATATTGCAATTTTTTGATGCTAGTATATTAATATACATAACTCTAGGCATCATCATATTAAGACATAGTTCAAACATTTGCCCTTAAGACGACACAGAAATGTTTTCGCCATGCGACCCTGCGTCTGCTATCTGGCCGGCGTACCGGTATTCATAAGTATCCTGACATGACTGGCTCTGTGTCTCACTGGCGCATCTGACCTGGGGACAAAAGTCCGGTTTTGTCCCCAAAATTGCTTCTCGTGAATTTTTTTTTTAATATGTTTCAGGTGTATTGATTTGGATGGTATCCGTCGTTATTAATAAGCTCAATGTGTCCGTCCGATTGGTTTTATATCTGTAACAAGTGCTCTCATCCCCGCGTTCGTTTTGAGACACCATTTGGCTGCAACCTCTACGACGACTCCTGATGAAGGCTCCATAGAATTGCCGAAAGCTAGAGATTACCGTCAAATGAGTTAACTAAAGCCTAAATAGGTTGCCAATTTCCCAATTAACAATTAATTGTAATTTTGCCCAACTAGTCGTTGGCAATGGTAATGACTATATATATATCTGGATTCAATACTGCTCACTAATTTGCGACAAACATAACATTGAAGAATGTTCTCTAAAAATACACATTGTATGTGGACAAAGTATTTGACATACAATATAAAGAATATCAGAAAAATATTGAAAATGTCACTAAATCACAGTATTTACGCTAATAAACTAACTTTCCAAAATCTCGATGAAATAACAGACTATTTTTCCCAAAAAATGGATGAACACATGAATACATTCCACCTACAAGCTGAGGAAATGAACAAATGGTTATTGAGTACGTCCGCGGTAACGTCGAAGGTAAAATATTGTTGAATTCCAAGCCGATCTATAAAGATTTAAACGACTTTCTATAGCTTGGAGAAATGAGTAAACAGATGGATTTTCTCAATTTTTTGCAAAATAATATCAGCAAAAGTTTGAATTACATCGATAAGGAGCAAGGAAATCTAGAAGAGGCCATTAAAACAATCGAATGCGACGTATGCTGTGTACCTGGTGGAAAAGAAGGTCCTGTTGATGAATATCGACAAATCACGTAATACATATGTTTATCTAAAGTTGATTGATGTAAGCTTGTAAATATTTAAAGTAGTGCAAAATATGCCATTTTCGACACCGGAGAACAATATGAAAAAACGAAGATTTTAATGCTGCCAAAGTTCCTAAATATTCTTCAAATATCTGTTAACAAAATCCAAAAGCATTTCAGGTATTGTCACTGAAAACCTTTGTTTCTTGTTAAAAAACGTGCACTCAGTGCATACTCTGCATGAGTGCAAGAGACATGCGGTAGGGGCGGCCGGCATCCCCTGCTACTTCTCTCTCTCTCTCTTTGGAAACATTGGAGATAATGAAATTTTTTTCGGGGTCGAAAATGACTAATATTTCACATTTTTTTATTAACTGTAGAGGAAAGTTCTAGGGTACCTTTTTTTGTTCAGAATGTCTTAAAAAAGCCTGGAAACACTTTGAAGAGAGCAAAAAAAAATTAGAATCTGCTTAAAAAAGTGGTTTAAACAATTTTCTGCCAACGAAAAAATATTTTTCGTTATATGTATCACTGTTAAAAATAATACACATATATTGATTAACGTATTCTATCTGAATATAGCAAACCAAAAACTGTAGTCCGACATCCAAAAAATGATCTAAGAGATACTAGAGTCATCTATGAGTCGGTAACAGAACACAAAAGGTCTTAACTACCAAACAACCACAATATTTGCATAATAAGTTAACACGATGTAGTGACATACTCGTAAATCAACTGAATACAAAGAATAGAAATATGTTAGTGATACCCTTACATTCTAAGGCTGTCTACAAAAAATCATTCAGCTACAACGCTATTAAATTATATAATGATTTGCCTGTTACATTCCAAAACTATACATTATTTAATTTTAAAAAGAGGCTTAAACTATAACTACAAGTCGAGGTCTGATGATGAATACAAAATGCTAAAAATATGGAGTATTCTTGTAATTGTTCTGTTTTTTTGTGTTGTTAATTATTTAGTAATTATTGAGAATTATGGATTCCTTTTTGTTGGAATGTTTTATTATATATATTTTTTTTTGTTCTTCAAAGGTTAAGTTGAAAAACGGTAATCTTAGCGACACTTCGCCTTTTTTGTACTTTTACTTAGTTACGAAATAAAGCCCTTTATTATTATTATTATTATTTTAGAAATCTACTTTGAAAAGAGTTAGTGTGGCTATGCATTCTGCAACTATCTCATAGATGACGTCAGGAACTTCAATCATCATTAGTCCATTGGCAAAAGTTTTAAGTTTATTAGTTCCTACTTGTTAAATATGTTACAAGTGTAAATAGTAATTTTGTTCTACACATGGCTTACAGCTAGACAACGTATGAACACTTATTGTACGGTAGAATAGCATATTATTCACTGCCGCCATAATAATCTAAGAAGAAAAAAGAAGGTATGTATAGATTGAAGATCTTAGCGCCATCTATGAGACAGTATCAGAACCTGATACTCGAACTCCTTTCAAACTGGATTTATAATTTTCTACTGCCGCTGTGTCATAGATGGCAGTAGTATCTTTCAGATTACTTTTTAAAAGGCATAATACAGTATATGGCTGGCTATCAGGTGAAATACGTTAGCCAATACAAAATTGTCTAGGCTCTTCATACACAATGTTTAAGTAATAGATACTCTACGACTTTAATGACCTGGAAATGTTTATATTGCAATGTGTCTTTTCAACAAAAAATATTTTTGCAATAGAGTTATCAAGGAGCCATCAAGTATTCGTAAGAAAGACAATCAATTTTGCGAAAATTTAGATGAAAGACTAAGGACAATCATGGGCATTTCCGCAATATCCATTTCTCACACTGATCTCATTATTATTTTTGGCACAACAATGTTGGCAACATTTCAATTAAGGCCTAGTTTGTGAACCTACAGTGCATAAACCAGGGACTAACGGCTGGTTCAACAAATCGTGCGACACTGCTCGTTAGCAGAAGATCAAGGCGCACATAATCTTCTTACGATACCTCACTGTAGAGAACAAACAAGCCGACGTCAAGTCCAGAAACAAATATAACGAAGCGGTCCGTGATGCCAAAGACCAGCACGATATAAAAATTAGGCACGGGGTAATGTCGCAGCGCAATGGCAGTGGGTCTTCCAGGACGCTGGTCAAGCAAATTGAAAAGAATCTTTTCACAGAGTCGCCTTCCACCACTTACGTGCCACGATGGAACGATTCTATCCTACTCAAAAGCCCTGTTCGTACAGCTATCGCCAAGCTGTCAGTCATCGTGTCCAAGATTCCGCAACACAAATGCCGTTCATTGTGCTACGCTAAATAGACAGAATTCACACGGCCGGATCCAAGACATAAATCAAATTCAAGCGGATAACCAAATGGAAATGGTATTTACCATTTTGGGTTGGTATTTACCGATCCGTTCAAGCGAGTGTAGTTATCAGTTTGGTTATAAGATCCGTGACATCACGAATCAGCTGTTATATGTCATAGTTATCACCGCAAAATTGTGGTATTTACCCAACTCAAGAGTAGTTTTATATTTCTGGTTATTATTTGAAATGTGACAAGTTAGAATTTTGCCGGGTATTGGATATTGTTATTGTACTTCAGCTTCATTTTTGAGAAAATTGATACAGGCTGACTTCAGTTTTACCATAAAGTGGAGCACCTTATTAGTTATACTAATTACGGTTGTTGGGGACACTTTAAATGCTTAACAAAGTATCCTGTGTAGCCATATACTACAAGAATATTAAAATATGTCCATATAAACTCACTAGATGATATCCACCTGTATACGGTTTTGCTAATTTCTTTTGTCATCATTTCTGCTGAATCAATAAATGTTTTCTTTGACATGCGGAAAAATTTAGAGAATTGAAAGTTATCATAGCTACAAAGCCATGGCTCCATCATTAAAAAAAAATCTGAAAAAAACATTTCTCCCATGAATATTATGAAAGGTTTCTTATTTAAACTTTCCATATACAGTTGTAGCCGAAAAAGCACCGATTTATTAAGTGATAATAAAAATAATCAGAGATTATATACGCGCTTTTCTAAAATAAACAACTTGCAACAAAACCGCGGTTAAAACCAACGCGTTCAAGCGATTCGTGTAACTGACGTCATCAACTAGTGTCACCTTGAACCATATTATAACCGCGGCACATAACACAGAAATTTTGGTTATTCGCTTGGATTTGATTATAGTCAACGACCACAGAGGTTTTCTACACTATACGGGACATAACATTCTGGTATAAAACCGTAGGACGCTCGGCATCAACAATGTTTCTGGTCCGGACTTGATTCCTGCTGTTGTATTGAAGAGGTATGCAGCGGAGCTTACTCCAGTTCTGTCAGGTCTCTTCCAGATATCTTATGAATCTGACACCTTCCCAGAAAACTGGAAATTTGCTCATGTCCAACTCATCCCAAAAAAGGCATCTAACACCTACCCTTACAACTACAGGCCTATGGCTCTGCTTTCTGTTATAAGTAAGGTGATGGAGAGGTGCATAAATCACGAGCATCTGGAGTACCTCGAACGTCACAGCTTGATTAGAGACAGACAGTTTGGTTTCCGGCACCAGCGATCCACAGGGGACCTGCTAGCTTACGTCACGAAACTGTGGAGTAAAGCTGTGGCATGCCGCCCTCTTTTGCAAGCAAGCAAGCTTTGCAGATGGGTCGCTGATTTTCTCTCCAACCGTCGTAATTGGCGGGTTCTCTTCATCCCACAATGTCAATGCGGGTGTTCCCCATGGATCGATATTATCTCCGACACTGTTTCTCTTTCATATCAATGACCTGCTTTCCTGTACGATCAATCCAATCCACAGCTTTGCTATGACAGCACTTTACATGCAGGAATTCAGAGCGACAAGCCGATGTCTACCGGTGAGCTGGAAAAAAGAAGACTAGCAGCGACTTCTTTTCTGACGAGATACATGTAGGTTATCTTTGCTTGGAGACGCAACAATCGATGACTCTTCTCTAACAGACAGTCTCGGGATACTTTCGCACCGGCAGGCCGTCGGCAATCTAGCTTCCCCGCTACACCAGTGGACTTTACTTTTCAGAGCTCTCCTCCATGATGCCGCTGCGCGATGTGACTGCCAGACAGACCCTCCTAACTTCCACATCCTAACAGACTTCAAAAATCGGATTAACAAAGTTTCTTTGGGATCCTCATAGCAAAATCGCATTTACGCCCCGCCCCGTCAAAACAGCCAGCGGGCTATTCTTTGGCAGAGAACTTATGTTTGTTTTGACGCGGAGAGAATGAGGCTTGAATGAACTTGCATTTTTAAGGTGATGATTTGAAGAAATTCCCAGCGAAAATATTCCAAAAAAGAAAAACAAAATTTTGGACGACTGGCCCTATTTTGACACTTACACATGACAAATGACAAGGTTGGCTCTTGTTGTGGACTGAGTGTGTCATTTTTACCCTCTCCATCTTCGTTTCCTCAGGTTACACCCGTATCCGGATGTATGGGCATGTGTTTCTACTTTTTAAGTTGCATATGTGCATTCATTTCGGGCCTGATGAAGCCGACCAGCAGAAATACGTATCGCTGGGGTTACCTATCCTATTTTCTGCTCGAATCCACTTTCCTGCTTTTTGCGGATTTTGTCCATTATTTTCCTATTTTTTGTTATATACCTTTCTCCGCATGATTATTTTCTCTTTGTAGATCCTTTGGGCTTGAAGTACCACAGCATGTGGCTATAACCGGCCGCGTGGTTGTGGTTAGATGTCGCCTTGAAAATTCGAGGTCTTCTAGCCATTTTACGTATACTACAATGTGTAGGTTGGCTCTTGATGTGGACTTCGTGTGTCATTTTTACCCTCTCCATCTTCGTTTCTTCAGGTTACACCCGTATCCGGATGTATGGGCATGTTTCTACTTTTTTAGTTGCATATGTGCATTCATTTCGGGCCTGATGAAGGCAACCAGAAGAAATACGTATCGCTCGGGTTACCTATCCTATTTTC